CCAGATCTTGAAGCTCTGTGCGAAACATCTTGCACTTCTAGTCAACTCCCCAAATCACCTCTACCTCCCTCTGTCCCCGTCTCTTACCCCATTAGCAAACCCCTACCTGCCTCTTTTACCCCAGCAGCTGTCTCTTCCTCTACCCCTGCTCTTGCACTGTCAACCACTGATTCCCACACAACTGCCCCCTGCTGTTCATCTTCTTCTGCTCGCTCAGGTACTAAACTGCCTATTGCTTGCTTTAAAAGACACATTAATTAGAACTAGTGTAATTGCTAATAGGTCTAACAATTATGATGTACTAGGAGACTTATTTTGCCATTAAATCACGTCTGTGTTTAATAGGTTTTGTCATAACTAATTGTGACCACCACAAGCAACTAGATATATTTTGTTGTTTGCTTTAATTTATGTTGGTCATGTCATGCTGGATAGTCCCACTCACAGGGAACTCTCATTGGTCCAAAATCTCACTCCAGATACTGTTTATTTTCATAAAACTCTATGATGACCTCGGTCACTCATGTAATTTCAAATCAGCAGTTGTCTTTGAAAATGAATTTAATAATCAAAACCAAATAAAAGTCATTATACGTTAATAAAATAATTTAAAATTTAAAATTAAAATGTGCACTGTTTTCCAGAGATACCCAGGGAGCTCAACACACTTACAGAGGAGGATCAAACAAACCCGTTTCTACAAGGTGAATAAGTATTCTTCACTTGTGTCATTAATGATGTAAATGACCTGAAAATGATTGAAAATAAAATAGATTAAGACTGATTAGCTTTTACTTATTTTAATAATTGTTCTGATTCAATTTGCCGTTATGCTCAACAGATTTACTTGCTGAAGAACCGAAGAACTCAGAGCCCAAAACAGACCAGTATCGCTCATCTCGGACTATATGCAGCACTAGCATTGCTAATAAACAATCTCCTTCCTTCCTCCGTCAACCTGAAACCATCAGCACTGAAAGAAAAGAGCTCAAACCTGCCATGGCTGTAAAAAGGTGAGCACTTAAACATTATTTTTTGTTCTGGCATCAAGTATAATTCACTAACATCAATCTTAACTATATAATTAAATACATTTATTATCACCTTTGCAGACGCAGTCTGATTTGCAGAGTTGTATTCAGAATTTAGTGCTTTGTGTGTTTCTGTGTGAAAGTGTGTTAGGCTTCAGATGGACACAAATCCAAATAACCCTTTTAATGAGAAAAATAGTTCCTTAATAACAATAGGGAAATGCATGACCTTGTGATAAGTCTATTTTAAACAGACCATGACATTTGCCTACATCAGCTCTCAGTTTACACTGCAAATGTTTAAACTCTCCGTTGCTTTCCCTCACTACTCCAATCCTGCGTCTGTCTCGTTTGTCCTGTTTTCTCGCCACTAACATCGCTGTGGCACAAACAAAGTGCTTTCTCTAAGGAAAAGTTGCATCTAATCTTACCAAACACCACCATGCTTTGGCCTCTTACCCCATTTTTTGCCAACTTTGACTCCAAGTATCTTTGTCCCCCAGTCTTGGGCCTGTTGGCAAGTCATCATTGAACACATCTGGAGTACAGCCTGTGGAAGCTTCTAGATCTGAGGAACTAGATATTGGAACTGTCTCTCCTCCACACCCATTCTCAGCTCCAGCAACAACACCTCCATCATCAGTGGTTTCCACACACATGGAGAAAAATCAAGTTTTTATAGCAGAGAAACCACCATTGGCTGAGGAAGAACCAGATTTTAAAGTGGCCGATTTCGATAAAATGATCATAACCTCTCAACCCATTAAAGATGTTACTGTTGGCAAATGCCCTGAGAAAGAACCACTCAAAATTGACATTGAACAACCAGTGCAATCCAGTCTGGTTCAAACCTTTTCAATAACCGATGGTGACAAAATAAAGCAACCAAAAAACACAAACATTGAATCAGCAGGGGAAGTTTCTTCAAAAGGGGAACCGAATGTGCAGAATGCAAAGGGTGCTCTGCTTTGTGGTGACCTCAACAAGTCAGACGAGGACAAGATAATAAAGAAATTTGCCTCAGCTGGTGTTATCCCTACAGAACACAATATCCCCAACATTTTATCCAGCTCATCACCTCTAAAGCAAAAACCTACAGATCTTCCCAGGGAAAAAAGTCAAGTGTGGGTGGAAGAAGTCTTTGAATCTAAGTCCAACCATAGTTTGAGAGAGAAGCAGTCCCATAAGGATAATCTGGCCAAGAGTTTGACTATTGAGGAAAGGTGAGTGTGGTACTATTACTCTCATGGTACTATTACTCTCCCAAACTGTGGCAAACTGGAACTTTCCTCTTCTGAGTCACTTCCTGTTTCAATAAACTCATATCTGTCTTCTAATGATGTTCATTTGAATACTTAGGCACATAAAACTCTCTTTGGCATCATGAATAGTTTTAGATAACACATTTTTAGAGATAACACAATTTAAACATACCAACTGACCTCAGTATGAATAGATGAATAGAGGTTATATCTTCTTCCCCAACCACAAAATTACACTTATGTAGAATTACATCATTGACATCATTCTCCAGAAAAAAATATAGATGAACTTCCTAAAGTTTTTACTAAATACTAATTTATCTATATTCCTCTATCTGTAACAATCTTTTTCCTGTCTCATTCTTTTCTTCCCTGTTATTCTCTCAGTCAAAATGAAATGGCCTTAACTCCACCTGAAAGGCCTAGTGTTAGCCTCAAAGCGGCTTCCCCTCAAATATCAGATTTGCCCAAAGAGCTTCCTTTCATTCATCCCCAATCCCTGGAGCCCAAAGTCCTTAAATGCATCTCAGAACAAACTCCAGAAGTCAGTCAACCACCAAAACCAGAGCTGATTTTGAAGAAGCCAGACAACACAGTGTTAACGCAGAAGAGTGTGGAGGTCCATTCACTTGCCCAAGCAGAAGTGCCAATCTGGAGTTCTCTGAAAGAGAATGTAAAGGATCAGGAGGATGAAGCAAGGGATGAGGAAATAAATAAGCACAAAATACCTGACAAGATGCCAAAAGAAGAAAATAAAGCTGAAATGTCCTCAAAAAAATCTTTAGAAGCAGGGTAAGAACCAGTTGGTCTCAAATGTTTAGCCATGGCCGAGTGCTTGCATGCTTGAGTTGTGTTACACATCTCATACCCTCAAATATCAGATTTGCCAAAAGAGCTTCCTTTCATTCATCCCCAATCCCTGGAGCCCAAAGTCCTTAAATGCATCTCAGAACAAACTCCAGCAGTCAGTCAACCACCAAAACCAGAGCTGATTGTGAAGAAGCCAGACAACACAGTGTTAACGCAGAAGAGTGTGGAGGTCCATTCACTTGCCCAAGCAGAAGTGCCAATCTGGAGTTCTCTGAAAGAGAATGTAAAGGATCAGGAGGATGAAGCAAGGGATGAGGAAATAAATAAGCACAAAATACCTGACAAGATGCCAAAAGAAGAAAATAAAGCTGAAATGTCCTCAAAAAAATCTTTAGAAGCAGGGTAAGAACCAGTTGGTCTCAAATGTTTAGCCATGGCCGAGTGCTTGCATGCTTGAGTTGTGTTACACATCTCATACATTTAAGTTTGTTAAAATGGTCTTTTGGGGGTCTTGTACACTGTCATGTGTCAATAAGAGAGTGAGTTTCAACAAGTCATACTTGATTTGAATATAAACTTGTGCTAACATTGGCTTCATATTTATACCAGTGTTATAGCAGGCAAATATACAGTATGTGGATAGAGATTCATTAACGCATGTTTGATCAAAACAAGGTAAGTAAATTGTGACAAACCTTATTCCTTACCTCACAGCGAAGAAAAAGCCGTTATCCAAGTCGAGGATGCTGAGAATCTCCGTATAAATGAACCAGATTCCCAACAGCCGATACCCTCCATTGTCCTTAAACCACATCCAGCTCAGACTATTAAGGAGAAGAAAAAAGAAGCTGTTAAAGTCAGTATACCGGTCCGTATGAAGCCTCTACTTCCTGTGATCTCCCCTGCTGTTGCTGTAAAGGACAAAAGAACTTCAGTGCATCTGGAGGACATTTGCCCTCTGATGCCCAACCTGTCTCTGGATACAGAGTCTGATGGAAATGGTTTAAAGAAAAAGGTCACATTTGAGGAAGAGAGTGTGTTATGGGCTGCGGTAGAGGAGAAAACAAAAGAAAAAAGTGATGAAGTTGTTAGCATGTGCAAGTTGATTCCAGAAAAAGAGGTCCTGGATAGGGGGTAAGTACATGAGGTTTGTTAACTTCACTGCATGGTGTTTTGTGTGGACGTCAGACTATCTGGACTTGCATGGTTTTGACCAGTTTGTCCATGTTTCATTCTGCCTGAGTTTCTAATGTATCTCTATTAGAACTTAAAGTAAACATCTGTTTACATGCTGGGAGTTGAGATGCTAGCGAGAGAACACTGATCTTCAAAGAATATTCTTGTCACTTACACTTTTTGGTCCATGGCAGCCAATGTGGACAAGAAACATCAGAAACCAAGCTGAAGGAGCAAGAGGATTCCTTTGCCTTGTCCCATTCCCACCACAAACTAGATAAAAATGCTAACAGAGAAAGCCAGAGGGAAGATAATATAGAGAAGACCAGTAAAGAGGAAGATTCAGATGATAAGATGCCGAAAACTGGCAGTGAGACTATTTGGGCAACTCAAGCTGGACCTAAAGAAGATCTGAAGACTGTTAGTGTCTGTTCAGGACCCGGACTTGGCCTTGAGCTTGATGTAGGAACAGACAGAAACGTGGACACCTGCATACAGGAACATGACTCAGTTTCTGACCAGGAAGAAGTATCTGTAGGCTTCATACGGGGGATTTTCTGTGTTCTGTATAAAGGGTAAGTGTGGGACGATTCTGAGACGTGCACAGAGCTTCTCTTGTCACGGCATCTGCATGGCTATAATTTCATTTTCCTGAAACACTGAAAGGTTGTTATTAGGTGTGACTGTGCATTTGCAAGGAAGTTTTTGCATCCACACGTATGGTGTCCTGTAGTGATGAGAAGCTTAGCTTAAGGAAGAGCTTGCCTGTTTGATACTGGCTGGTGATTCAAAAAGAGCCCTTTTGCGAATGGAAAGAATTTGTTTTGTCATGGTGTAATGTAATCATATTTAAATGTCCTCATCCTTTAGTTATGAGACCATGACATCAATACTACAGCAGCCAAGCACATCAGAAACCGATGTTAAAGATGACACGATTTTGGATGATCAAGATGGATCTGTGGTCGAAATTCTCCCTCCCGAGGCCTTCTCTGACACCAAAATTGAGCATCCATCCGACGATGAGCCCCAGGAATCAATAATCCAGGATTTGTTACCTTCTGGCGAGTTACAGATAGATATTCAGACCTCCGAGCCTGTGACCATGAGCTTGGTGGAGTGTTTAAAACTGGCTGCCAGAGAAACTCAAAGCGGATCTATGAACTTCAAGACCCAGGATAAAGGAAGCCCTTCTAAACAAAAAACAGCAATTGAGCAAACCCAAATACTGACACCAATAGGAAATGACAAATACATGAAGGTGGAATTGAAGTCTGAGAGTGTGATATCAAATGAAGAGAAGAATGAAGAGCCATGCTTACTTCTGGAGGAAGAAGAAGACATGAATGCTAAGAAAGATGTGCAAAACCTCAGCTATGTGGAAACAGATCATCTGGTGACCGAGGTAGACTTTGAGAAAATAAAAATACAAGAAAGCCCAAAAAGAAATGGGCATGAAGAACTTCTGCCTGGCAAGATAACAGCAGCAGATTTAAGGCCAGTGGCGGAGTCGGAGGGTTCACAGGAGGAGCTGGAGTTTGAACTAGGTCAGGAAGACTTAGGAACAGTGTGGTCTGCTGAGCTATATATGGATGGAGGGTAAGTGCATGGGACATCACCTCTGCCTGCACTGCCTCTCATTTTTATGACCCTCTTTACATGAACGGCACGATTTTGGCAATGTTCCGTCTGGCTGACATTCAAGCATTCTAGTCGTTTCATTACGTTATTCATGTGTGTCTGTGACAAGGGCTGGTGGAGTCTGCATTTGACATCAAGCAGTGCATTTAATGTGTCCTGTGTCCTATGGCCAACAAGTCTTCTAAGAGATGGGTTGGGATACACTATCATACAAAAGTTTGGGGTCAAGTAAGACTATTTTTTAAAGTAATTAGTACTTTTATTCAGCAAGGATGCATTAAATTGATCAAAAGAAAGGGTCAAGGTAGTTATGATGTTACAAATTACTTCAATGTCAAACAAATACTGTTCTATTTCTGTTCATCAAAAATCCCGTTGTCAACATTGTTAACAATAAGAAATGTTTAATTCAGCTTTGCAATCACACTAATAAATTGCATTAAAAATATATTTGAAAAGAAAACAGTTATTTTAAATTATAATAATTGTAATAATTTTTGATCAAATAAATGCAGCCTTGGAGACTTCTTTTTAAAAAAATTTGAAAAATCTTACCAAACCCATATATTTGAGATGTAGTGTATATATTATGAGCATGAAACATTGTGTTGGTTCCTGTTGTTTTGAAACTGGGCTCTCTGTGGTTTTTCCAAAAGGACTAAACAGCAATTTGTTTGTCGCAGCTTGTTTGTCACTGCTGCTGCAAGCTTGCAAAAGTTGTTAGCAGAAAACATTACACGGTGACTGTGGGCTAACGCTGCTGTTTGTAGCCCCCTTCTGGAACTGATTGTGCCATTTTCACTTAATTGCATCTTTACTGAAAAACCTTTGCACGCTATAATAACCAAATTGGTAAGGTGCAACATTTTGATCTCATGTTCTGGTGTTCCATTTCTCACAGACCAGAGGAATCCTCAATACCGCCAATAGTTTTCACAGCCATACAAACACTGGAATCGCCTCTGACTGCCTTTCCACCAGAATCTGGGCCTATATTAAAAGGCACTACACCAACGGAAACTATTTCCCAATCTGCTTGCAAAGTTGTTTCTCTGTGTCAAGACGAGAGTATGCAGTCACCACCCCCAGTGCCTTTACAGGAAGTTGGCCCTGATGCCATCAGTCAAAATAGTAGCTCTGCAGCTGCTAAAAGGCATGTGGTTCCACAATGCGATGAACAAGGAACCACTCCTTCAGATGTAACTATAGAGACAGCAGCTGTAAAGACTGTTGAGATATGCAAAGATGTTGCAAAAGAGACAAGTGAGAATAACTTGTCACCACTAGAGGGAGACAATACCAAAAGCATGTCTATTAACAACACTTCAAAAGTTGAGATGGAAAAAGGGAGCAGCCCAGTCATCACCAAGGCATCAGAAATTATTATTGTAGCAGCCACAGAAAGACCGGAAGACATAAACGTTGATGAGAACGTTGTTTCCGGGAAGGACATTTCTCCAAGGAGCTCAGTGGTCCCATGGCCATTTCCTTCTCCTAAACTCGAAAGACACCGTGAGCCCTCAAAAAGTACAGAAAGTTCCAGTCTAAAGGATGACGACCTCTCGGAGGAGAGCATTCTGTTAGCAAAGATTCGTCAAATGGCAGAAGAAGAGATGGCACAGCCGTCAGCTTCTGCTCCATGCACTAAGAAACGCTTGATCCCCTGCAAGTCTGATTTTGAACTTCCTCCAACTCCTCCCATGCAACTAAATTCCAGCATGAAACTGCCCATGGATGAAATACGACCGAATTTAGATCGGACGGAGATTACAAAAACACTCAGACCTCCACCGTCAGTGATTTCCCCAGAGCAGATAGATGAGAAGATTGACATCAGTAAGTCTCAGACTCCCTCTGTGCCACTGGAGAGCTTTAAATTAGATGATAGCCACAGCGAAGCCAATGCTAGAAATGCTGTTTTAGATGATAATGTCCAGTTAAACAAGCAAGAACAAAACATCCAGCTGGAATGTATGGCAGCTGAAAGGGAGTGCCAAGATACACCAGCTGTTAAGCCCGCAAACCAGACAGAGAACACAGAAACAGAAGCTGAAACTAAGAAGAAGGAAGAACCAGAATTAAGTATTGATAGAAGTGAAGAGGCTCAAATAGAGCAGAATAAGCCACCATCTCCAGTGCCTGATGAATTGTAAGTTTGAGTGGCTTGTAAAGACTAAAATTCAACTGTATTTTGCAATATTATGTTGTTTGACTTTAAGTCTGGAATGACATCTACAGCTCTAAAGGCTGATGCCTAAAAATGTACACCTCTGTGCACAATTTACACTACCGTTCAAAGGTTTGGGGTTGGTAAGATTTTTTTATGTTTTTGAAAGAAGTCAAACCAAAGCTGAATTAATTCGATCAAAAATGCTGTATAAACAGTAATATAGTGAAATGCTATTACAATTTAAAATAAATGTTTTCTATTTTAATAAGTAATTTATTCATGTGAAGGCAAAGCTGAATTATTAGCAGCCATTACTCCAGTCTTTCTAATATGCTGATTTGGTGCTCAAGAAACATTTCTTATTGTCAGTGCTAAAAACAGATGTGCTGCTTAATATTTTTGTGGAAACCGGGATATGTTTTTTCCAGGATTCTTTGATAAACAGAAAGTTCAAAAGAACAGCATTTATTTGAAATAATTATGTGTAATATTGTGAATGTATTTACTGTCAGTTTTGATCAATCCAATGCATCCTAATGGTAATTAAAAGTATTAATTTCTTTAAAAATATATATCTTACATATCTATATGTATATGTAACATCTTACAACTTCTGAACAGTAGTGTAATAACACTGTGTATATTAATATTTGCATGTTTTTTCATTAACCTCAAATCAACACCCAAAATGTTCTAAGCATTGCAGAAAGGGAAACCCTAGCAGAACAAATTCATTTTCACTTTAACACTGAATTTGAAATTTAATTTCAAAACTATGTGAAACAAAAACAATGACGAGGAAGTGTGTATTTATAATAACATGGCAAAATTTGTAAGTCATGTCGGTATGTCTAAAACATTTCCTGTCCTTTTGATAGGTCTAGTCATCCTCAGGAAAAGGAGTCCTCTGCTGTGTCCCCAGAGGCTAAAGGGAGCGAGACGCCATCTAGAAGCCCAGGCAGCATGCAGGTTAATGGCCAGACCACTGCAGATGCATCCCATGTGATTGTGCCTCCAGTGCGCATTAAAAAGAAAATAATTCCACCACCAATGGACCTTGCAATAGTAAAAACAATGGATGAATCAATTAAGGAGGGTTCCGCAGTGCCTGCATGGGATGTAAGTGGCATTTGTTGTTTATGTAAAGTACCTGTTAAAATGTAGACTGTTTATCGCTTTGTCTAAACGCTGTCTAACTCTGTTTTTTTGTCTTTCCATTTGTTACTATACAGTTTGCCAGTCCACTGCCCAGTCCTGGTTTGGTGACCTCCAGTCAGTCCTTGCTGGAGTGGTGTCAAGAGATCACTAGAAACTACAAGGGAGTAAAAATCACAAACTTCAGCACCTCTTGGCGTAACGGCCTGGCGTTCTGTGCCATCTTACATCACTTCCACCCTGAGATAATGTGAGTTTCTGATTCATGTCATTCATTCCCAGCTCAAAGCAAACTCGTAACAGCAAGGACTCACTGGGAGAGGAGGGAAGTGACACTGTGGCTAAGCCAAACGGAGGTCTTGTTCCTCCACCTCGGACTAAACGTGCAGGAAAGGTGGAAGAGAAGGGCAGTAAGGAGACAGAGGGAGGCGTGCAGACTCCTGTGGCCCCACCACGACCAAATGCAGCGGCTTCCAGATCAGGATTCGGGCACATACGAGATGCAGATCTGGTGAAGAAACGGCGGTCGCGACTAAAGAGCGAATCCATGGATGAGACTGATTCAAAGGAGCAGCCAAAGGAGGTAAAAGACATAAAATGTACCCTTTCCTTGCAGTTATGTTTTAATATTTGATCTAATAGTCTTTTCTCTACTAACCTCCGACAGTCAGATAAAGGTGAACTGATAAAAAAATAATAATAATAAAATTAAAATGAACCTTGTTCGTACTTTACAATATAATGTTGTGATGCCTTAATAAACTTAAAATAATTGATTTCAGTATTTTGGAATTTAGAATTTCAATATTGGACATTTATAGCTTATTGTTCATAATATGACAATAATTAATTAATTATAATGAATTATAAAAAAATACTTTTTAATTACTTTTTATATTTGTTATTGTGTATTGACTTAGTTGTTGTTTTCCAGTGACTTTGATGCATTGGAGCCTCACAACATAAAGCATAACAACAAAGCTGTAAGTTTGGTTTAAGCAGATGTTCCACATAAAGACATTCTTTAACCATAAACTAAACCTCATCATTTGTGCTACGCATTTTTTTGCTTCTCTTTTAGGCTTTTGATGGTTTCGCATCACTGGGAATATCTCGTCTGCTGGAGCCCTCAGACATGGTGCTTCTCTCTGTGCCAGATCGTTTGATTGTCATGACGTACTTGTGCCAAATCCGTGCACACTTCACTGGGCAGGAGCTGAGTGTGTTACAGATAGAGCAGAACAACAGTCAGTCCAGCTATGCAGTAGCCAGTCCAAACCAAGGGTCGGATGTACAAGCAGCAGCCAGATTCTGTGCAGAGAGGCTCCAGGCTGGAGCCCTGTCAGGAGAGAGTAACAGCAAGGACTCACTGGGAGAGGAGGGAAGTGACACTGTGGCTAAGCCAAACGGAGGTCTTGTTCCTCCACCTCGGACTAAACGTGCAGGAAAGGTGGAAGAGAAGGGCAGTAAGGAGACAGAGGGAGGCGTGCAGACTCCTGTGGCCCCACCACGACCAAATGCAGCGGCTTCCAGATCAGGATTCGGGCACATACGAGATGCAGATCTGGTGAAGAAACGGCGGTCGCGACTAAAGAGCGAATCCATGGATGAGACTGATTCAAAGGAGCAGCCAAAGGAGGTAAAAGACATAAAATGTACCCTTTCCTTGCAGTTATGTTTTAATATTTGATCTAATAGTCTTTTCTCTACTAACCTCCGACAGTCAGATAAAGGTGAACTGACAGCTGAAGGAACTAATGGCTCAACAGCTGCCAGAGAAAGTGCTGAAACTGGTAACCTTCCTAAACAGCTTCCTAATATCTAAAAAATGATTGAACTTGGAAAGATTTGGTATTTTACGCTCTGATTTACACTTATATTTTGCCATTTAATGTGTGCTTGCAGAACCTCAGGAAGCAAACCAAGATGTTAAATCAGCAGAGAGTGAGACAATGGTCAGTATGCCCTCACTATTTGAGACAATTAAAGTGTTTCATCTTTTATGTAATTTTTTGATAACTTCAAAGCCTGTGGTTTTAAAAGAAAATTTGCCAATTTGCATGTCAAGTATTTAGAAAATATCTTTCTGAGTTTACAGTAATCGTCATAATTCTCTAATTCTGGGGCCAGATTCACAAAACATTCTTAAGAATAAAACTGCTATTTTTTCCTTGTTTTCTAACTTAAGAATATGGTTATGAATATTTTGTATTGCCAAAAACATTTCTTAACATTTCATAGAAATGGTTCTTACATTTTTTCTTTAGATTGTTTTAAAGATAAAACATATTAAATTGATTTCCTGAAAAGAATGTTCTGAAAATTCATTGTAAATTACTTTCTAAAGTTAGCATAACCTCAAACTTGTCTTAAATCCCCAAAGATAAGATGTTTAAATTTATTTATTGGGTCATTTTAAATATTAAACAGTACAACATTATTATGAATATTATGATCACAGTACTCTGCAAGCAGTGCAAAAAGACAGACAGGTGTTTGTCATGAAGCCATTAAGCTGATCAATGAATCTTTGCCTAGACCCGGCATACAGTCAGATAACACCAAAGCCATTTTCCTCTTAAGAAAAAAAAGAAAATAGAGGGGGGAAGGGTAAGAAAATATCTGAGAAGAATTTTTCAAGAATTTCAGAAACATTCTAACAAACTACTTCATTCTTAAGAAGAATTTCGAGAATCCAGCTCTTGACTCACAAGCTCTTACCATCCCATGTTTAATTTCCTTGTTTTATAAACCTTTTAGTTAAATCAAGCCTGTCTTTTCCTCTCCATTATCTTTGTGCATCATTGTCTGTTTGTGTCTTTTATCAATGTTGGTCTGTATCTGGCTCTATCCATCTCTCTTTCTCTCAATCTCCATTCCTTTCCGCTGTCTTTTCCTCTCTCTGTCTGTATTGCTCTCGTCTGGTTTTATATATGTGTCCCTGTGGTACTTCCTGGCCAGTGTCTGCAGGACACCAATCAATATGTGTTGAGTGAACTTCAGGCCCTGGAAACTGAACAGAAGCACATAGACAGCAGAGCTGCAGTCGTGGAGAAAAGACTACGAAAGATCATGGAGACGGGTAAGAAAAACACTCATATAGAGTGAAGGAGAGAATGAAGTTGATTTCAAGTTAACTCTTGAAATGCAGCATGATATACCACATTATCTGCTTAACAGGAAGTGATAAAGATGAAGAAGAGAAGCTGATTCAGGAATGGTTCACTCTGGTCAACAAGAAGAATGCTCTGATCAGGAGACAGGACAATCTTGAGCTGCTGTATGTACTGATATGTAAGACACAATCAGTGCGCACTGTCAGCCACATCAATAAATATTCATGATGTTACACTTGCAGGCAAGAAGAGCAGGATTTAGAAAGAAGATTTGAGCTGCTAACCCGAGAGCTCAGAGCCATGATGGCTATTGAAGGTAAGCCATTTAACTTTAAACTAAGAGTTACTGAAAAAAAAAAGATATTCATTTTGAGATTTGCTAGATAACAGTTATTAAAGTAGTGTTTTTAAAGCTTAAGTTGAGTGGCAAAGGTAATATAAATGTAAAAAATAATTAACATAGTTCATTATTCAGTTATCTAATATCAGCCTATATGCTACCGATATATTGTGCATCTGTATTCTACACATTGCATATTTTCATTTGTCATGTTAATTCCTCAGATTGAATTAACTGAAAAAAAACTGAAAAAGGTTGAAGGTTCCAATTAATACCAATGTTAATTTTGAATTCTGCCATTATTTATTGTGTATTTTACACTATATTTATTCAACATTATTAAAAAACACACAGCCACAAAATAGAAGAAAGAACATCAACTTGGCTCATATATTAGTCTATTAATGCTTTAAACTTTTACCGACATATTTCCTCTGTGGCTGCAGCTGTAATAGTCAGTATTTCATCACTGTACCATCATATCACTAATATCCATATTTCATCCATCAGACTGGCAGAAAACTCAGGCCCAGCAGCACAGAGAACAGCTACTGCTACAGGAACTGGTGTCACTGGTCAACAAGCGGGACGAGCTAGTCAGAGACATGGATGCAAAAGAGAGAGGGTGAGTCTAGTCACAGTGTTTTGTTGCACTGGAATGGTGAGTTGTAGAAATTAGACTCTACATACACATGCACTGAATGTATTTTGAATGTGCAGGGCTTTGGAGGAGGATGAGAGATTGGAGAGAGGTCTGGAGGCAAGACGTAGAAAATACAGCAATAAGGAAAAGTGTGTTCTTCAATGAAGAAACTTGAATTCTTCTGAAAACTGTGGCTCACTGCACCAGAGATTATTTAAATGACTTGGACTACACCAGGACATTAGTGTGCCTTCTTTTCACTTTCAGAGACATTTGGCTTAAATGTGAAGCCCTTCCTCAAAACATCTTAAAGATCTCAGTGACATCTCAGTGGGATATAAAACATGTCCAGTGTAGATCAGACAAGTTATTCCCTAAAAGTTTGCACAACGTTTTGAAGGTTTTCCAAGGTTGCACTGGTTAAGAGTTTGGTATTTTAAGCAATATTACTTTAAATCTGAAAATCTGAGAGAAGGTCTTTATTGTTTTATTGGAAAATAAACAAACAGCCTTCACACACCTGCATGGTTGCAGACAGTTGAACTGAATACAAGAAATAAGAAGAAGAAAAGGGAAAAATTCTGCACACATTTGTAGGTTGCAAGAAATCCAATATTTATTGAGACTTCTGTCACACAACCTTAGTCAGGATTTTTTTTTTCCTGAAGAAAATAAAACATTGCTCAATAAATAATAGATTTCTTTCAAGCTGCAGCAGTGAGCAGGGTTTTCTCACCTTTGTTGTTGTTTTTTTGTATTTAAGATGTATCGAACAGACAAAGAGACTTGCGCCAAAGTTTGCTGTTTTTACATTATTTATTTAAGTGTGCTGTTTCCTGGTATGCCAACATGTCTCTGTTGGGCTGTTGTCTTGTATTAGCTGCAAATTATATTCTCTGATGTTTTATCAGACAATATATGTCTCCAAATGAATGTATTGATAAAGTTATTTTGCATTGCAGTGCCTTTAGAGGTTTAATACCTTTTGAAAGGGGGCTTTTTATATAAAATGTACCCATTCTGTATCTTTGTGTTTTAAACCTTGAAAGCTAACTCAAAATGAAAAATATTTATGGGCTGTTTTATAGATATACAAAAAGTATTTTGTCTGTCTGTACTCTTTTTGATAATTAAATGTGTAATTCATTCCTATTTTAAGATTTAGGGTGTTTTATTCAATAAAGTTTGATGCTGTTTGAATTTTAATCTATGGTTTTTCTGCCTAAAACATGGGAGGGAGATAAACACACACATGCACACACACACATATAGCTTATAATGTAAATTACAAATTAAAAAATGTGCATATATATAATTTATTTTACATTTTACATCAGGCTGGAGGCCCCGAGGGTCCAACACCACACAGATACACATTTGATCCATGTGTATATCAGCTCATCTACAAAATCAACATATTTATGCACAAATATATGCACAAAATTACATATGCATGGATCCCACCACTAGGCGGCGAAAGCGGGTAAGAATAGTGGCGCATCATCATCATCATCATCATCCGTCACTGCCGCACCTGCGCGGCTTGTAAAACCAGAGAGGAGAGAAGAGGCGTAAAGTCAGATTGGGTTGATTTTATAAGGAGGTCTGGAAACGGTCCACAAAGGCTTATCAAAACTCAGAGATCCTCTTTTTATTGCTACTATTCCAGACTAAATACTGGCTCAAGAGTTTGCGCTCAGCCGGTGAACAGTAGGCGACCCAGAGCGCTTCTACCAGCTGGACAAACAATAACAATCCCTTTGCTGTCACATCATGAACCCTGAATAGTAAGTCGTGAGAACTATAAACATTTATGACCGCCTCATAATTTCCTTTAACCTTTCGTTGGCAGGTCAACCAAAATTCCTATGCAGTTGTTGATCAATTTATATAATAATTAAATAGCAAATAGTATTGTGTTACGGTTGTTACTTAAAGCAGTTGTCATGGTTGCAGACTGCACAATAGTTGCTCTGTAAAAAAAAACGTATGTATGATAGATATATTTGTATATTATATATTTAACTTTATTATTTTTTAATTATTATTATTATTATTATTAAATAATTATAAATAGAATTATATCATATTTAATATTAGTATTATATGAGCTATATGAGAGAATATATTTTATATATAAAATGAAGATCTCAGAACTGTTTTAAAACTATTTGTTTTTGCATATTTCCACAGTGACTACTTATTCAAGCTTCTTCTGATTGGAGATTCTGGAGTTGGAAAATCTTGCATTCTATTGCGTTTTGCAGTAAGCGTTTTTTTTTTTTTGCAACAGCATCTTTGGATATGAATGATCTCTGACCGTGTGTGGTTGAAATATGATTGATTTTTCTTTTCCAGGACGACACCTACACCGAGAGTTTCATCAGCACAATCGGAGTGGATTTCAAGATCCGAACTATTGAGTTGGATGGGAAAACTATTAAACTGCAGATAGTGAGTTTGTAGACTTTAGAATTCAACTTAAGCGTGTCATTTAATGGGATACTTCAGTTAAATGAGTCATGTGCATGTTTACAGTGGGACACCGCTGGACAGGAGAGATTCCGCACGATTACGTCCAGCTACTACAGAGGAGCTCATGGGATCATTGTTGTGTACGATGTTACGGATCAGGTTTGTGAGACTCCTTTCTAAAAAATTCACATCTGTACATGAAACATTTATGGCTACTGTTTAAAATGAAGGTTTACCTCTCAAATGTAAACGAAACTGCACACATTCTTAAAAGTTTAATGCTGGTGTCTTTTCAGGAATCCTACAACAACGTGAAACAGTGGCTGAAAGAAATCGATCGCTATGCAAGTGAGAATGTCAACAAACTACTTGTAGGAAACAAGTGTGACCTCACTCCAAAAAAAGTTGTGGACTACACTACAGCTAAGGTTGGTTGGTAGGGAACTAATGAACTTCCTTTTTAAACTAGTTAAAGGAATAATTCACTCAAAAATGCAAATTTGCTGAAAATGAACTCCCCCTCAGGCCATCCAAGATGTAGATGAGTTTGTTTCTACACTGGAACAGATTTGGAGAAGTTTTAAATTGTATCACTTGCTGACCAGTGGATCCTCTGCAGTGAATGGGTGCCGTAAGAATGAGAGTCCAAACAGCCACAAATAATCCACAAGTAATCCACATGACTCCAGTCCATCCATTCATTTCTTTTGAAGTGAAACTCCATCAAGATGTTTTAACTTTTAAATTGTTGCTTCTGGCAAAATACTAGTCCATAATCCATAATAATGCTTCCTTCAGTGAAAATGTTGTCTTGTTGGATAACTTGTGGATTATTGTGATGTTTTTATCAAACTCTCATTTTGACGACACCCATTCACTGCAGAGGATCCACTGGTGAGGTAAGTTATGTCATTTCTACACCAAACACTTTATAGTTATACTTTAACTGAAAACACAAAGATTGGTCTTCTCTCTCCCACACATTTTTTCAGGAGTTCGCTGACTCTCTTGGCATACCTTTCCTTGAGACGAGTGCCAAAAATGCCACGAACGTGGAGCAGGCCTTCATGACCATGGCAGAGGAGATAAAGAAGCGCATGAGACCAGGGACTTCGGGGGGTTCAGAGAAACCTGATCTTAAAATTGAAAGCACCCCGGTGCAGCAGTCAGGCAGCGGGTGCTGTTAGATCACTGTCGTATGTTCTCAGGGAGAGTGATGAGCAGGACTGGACACTGATGAGCATTGTGTAGAGGTGGCCACTGTGGAAATTAATGACATACTGTCTCCTACATGGTGCTCAATAAAGTTTGAACTCATTACTGTTGTTTAACAAAGAAACATTCATGGCTCTTCCCATATTTTCGTTGTGTTTGAAAATAAGATTAAAGCACAGGTACACACTGATTCAGGTATTTGCCTGAAAAATGAAGGTGAAAATGGTCCAGATCACTGTGTTAATAGCTGTTAACTTTCACAATTGACCCAATCATATGAAAATTCCTAAACAATGAACTGGGATTCGCAGCTCGCTAAAGCGGTGCCTTTTCTTGTTCGTGCTTTCAAGAAGATCAGGTGGTTGAGTGGTCATTGCTGGGATCAGCATGGTAAAGCAGGGACTCTCCAACATTCTCATATGGAGTTTTACTGTGGTTCTGTTCAAATAAACAATGTTGTTTTGTGTGTATTAATTTGCTTCTACTTTCATTTTTGTTTGTGTTTATTATCCCATATAAAGGGAGCTTAGAAGGGTAGTTTATTGCTATTAGAATGGATGTCACGTTGCTCCAAACCTGCAGAACGCAAAATATTTTGAAGATGTTTTCATCTCAAGTCAATGGGATCATCATCATTGGATCTCATTGTATGAACAGAAACATTTTTGAACATATCTGCTTTTGTGTTCCACAGAAGAAAGTCAACCATACAGGTTTGTAACGACATAAGTAAATGATAACAGCTTTTTTTATTTTTATTTTTTTGAGTGAACAGTGTATTTTAGAGGCTTTAATTATTATTGAGAAAACACGGCTGGGGACTGCTAGCTAGCTTTTATTATTATTTATTGAGTATGGTGTGTTAAGAATGCAATAACCATCCATTTATTTTTTTATTTTGTTGCTCTTTTAAAAAGTTAATTAAATAAAAAATAATAATTTAAATTAAAATACAAATGTAATTTTTGTAGTTATTTAAATATAATTGCAAATATATATATTATATATATATATATATATATATATATATATATAGGGGGTGGGGATAAAAGCGTCTGCTAAATGATTAAAAGTAAAAGTAAAAGTAAATAGATAGAAATAAATTTAATATAATTTAAACACAAATGTTATTTACTGCTCAGTCATTTAAAACTTATCGATTATTTAAAAGTAAACTTAAACTGCTGGTTTGGGTCAAAATGGTCCCTGCCCCAACACACACACACATTGTTGATCATTCCTACAGCCATGTAAACATCCATTCTTATTTAAATGAATGCACTGAACTGACTGTGATATTTTATGTAAAAATGGTCTGAAGAACAATGTACTCAACGTTTCGAATATCTCCAATTCACACCTTGCGATCGCGATTCAAGCCACTCCCACAGCAATTCACTACTAAAAGCCATGATGATCAATACGACCATTCTACATAGAGACAACAGTCAACAGAGACAACAGTGCGTATTACAAGAATGGAAAGTGGGTGCAGGAGTGGTCCAGAACCACGAAGAAGGAAAAATAAAGATACTGAAGAGCCAGGTTGGTGTCCATTCTTGATATTCTCTAAACTTCTTACATTAAGTTAGCAAAGCTTAAGTGGTCATAATAAAAGCAAAGATGTACCATAATAAATACACAATGTATGGAACTTGAGAATGGCAGAGATTTCATAAAAGCCTTCCACTTTATTTAATTTCATGCTTGAATTCATTTTTAGACAATTGACAAATGATGTGCTCATTTTTTGATAACAGAACAAAAGTCTTCCAGTTGCTCACAGCCTGAAAACAACAAAACAGGAGCCCAAAAAATGTTCCCCTGTCCTCAGTGTGGAAAGAGCTTTACACAAAAAGGAAACCTTAGGATTCACTTTAGGATTCACTCTGGGGAGAAGCCGTTCGAATGTCATCTGTGTGGCAAGAGTTTCTCAGATCCAAGAAATCTCAGAGATCACCGGCTCTCTCACTCTGGAGAAAGAGTGTTTGACTGTGATCAGTGCGGCAAAAAATTTATGTTTGCAGCACACCTGAAGAGACACCTGAGAATCCATACAAATGATAAGCCATACTTGTGCTCCATTTGTGGACAGAGTTATTCACGCATGGACCATTTTAAAGAGCACCAGAAATTACATGCCAATGTGCGAGCACATGTGTGCTCTGAGTGTGGGAGTTCCTTTAATTTAGCCAGCCACTTGAAAGACCACCAAAAACTTCACACTGGAGAGAAACCTTACAAGTGTTCACACTGCGGAAAGAGTTTCTCGCAGTCAGGATCTATGAAAAAACATGAGAGAATTCATACAGGAGTGAAGGCATACATTTGCCCTTCATGTGGGAGAGCCTTCTGTCAGTCAAGTGCCCTGCTGAATCATATAAAAAAACATTGCCCAAAGTTGTCACAGTGAGAAAAATAAATAATGGAGAAAAAAAAAAAAAAAAAAAAAAACTGTTTAATTAAGGGTAGCAAGAACACTCGTTCAGTATGATTGACATGAGCAACCTTGTCAATCTATGTATCACTGTTAAATAAAATACTATCTTGATCTGTTCGTGTTTTGCCATTTTATTTTTTCTTCCAGGAAAAATTATTTCTGTTGAGGTAGGGTAGGCCTTAAGTTTAGGATTTTAGGAGGGTGAAAATGTTTATTTTAGCGGACTTAAGTGCTTCCTGGAACACATATAATAGATCACTGTCCACAAAATGTATGATTAGCGACTGAATTCACTCATTACCATGGGCAGATCAATGAGAAACTGTTGGTACAATAAAGACTATGCTCTTTCTTTATGTAGTGGTATAGTGTAAACAAAACAATAGTAGATTCCCTTATTCCCCTAATAGACTTAATTTCCCCCCAAAACACCATAGTAAAAAAGCAAAAAACAACTTGTAATGGAATGGAATAACAATGTATGATTTACAATTCAAAATGCAACTAGGCTATATGCAGTGACTATTAAAATAACTTCAAAAACATCTTTATTATTTAGTTTATGCAACCGAAAGCAGCAGCAGATGGCATTAACTCATGGCAATGATGAGAATGAATCACGTGGACCACTAACAGACTTGGCGTTGGCGCCGCACAGAAATAATTAAAACCTAGAGAGGAGATGAGAGTCTTCTAGTATGAAGCCCATTTCGTTTATGAATCAGCAGAGACCAAATGTGAATTCATCAGTTTAACCCTTGTCGCAGAGATAAAATAGTTATTTTATTCAATATAAGTCATATATGAATGAATGACGACCAGTAACTGCCTCGTCATTTAGAATAGAATTTAAATATCTTTATCCAAATGTTTTAGGTGTAAAGCATGTTTTGGTTTTCATTTTTATTTGTTTTTAATTTTTTATATTTATTAAAAGCAAATACATCGCTTCTATAAAGCATTCAAGTTTATTTATGTGTTGTTGAGGATAAATTTACTACATTTCCTAGTGTCAACTGAAAAAACTGCATTTTGGGCTGTAGTGCGCCCTCTTTTGGCGAGTCATAGTGCGGCGCTTCTACAGGCATGAAGCTTCTTCCAGGTTGTTGCTGATTTCACTGGTGGGCGCTGTTTGAAGAACATTATCCAGCTGCGCTGCTGCTGCCGTCATACTCTCAGCTTTTTATGTAACTTAATCCCCCCAAATATTGATGCTTTCAGTCTGTTTTGATCGAGAAAGAAGCTTCTGAAACGAAGGACAGTGTCTCGGTATGTTGCTGTATGTAGTTTGGTGTCCGGCAAGTTACTGGAGTAGCTAAGTTAGCTAACGTTAGCCAGTCAGAATAGGGACGTCAGCTGTATTTTTTTTTTCTTTTAATTCACTACTTTTTTGATAATATTACCGTATTTTAATAAAGTATAGTAAACAAGGTGATGTTTAGGGTACAAATAGCGAAAGCAAACTGTAAAACATACAATACTTCAGGAACTTAAAAGTTGCTGCGTTAGCCTTCAGTATTTATTCAAACTTGTTGATGCTTATGACGGATAATTTTGCTTTGAAAACTACTATCCAACTGATGAGTTTTTCTTCAGTTTATGCTTAGTTTGTACAGAATATACCAATAACAATTAGCGGAAGTCTCTTAAATAAAAATGCTTTGTGTTTCCTACTCAGTACTTGTGTTTGTTTCTGGATTAGATGGAGGGAGATGATGACGACTTCCCCCTTGATCCATCAGAGCACTCTCATTCCCAGCGGGGAAGTGTGGCTTCCTCAGTCACCAGAGGTCGGTTCTCTGTTCCTCTCTGGATCTGATGTCACTGGACTGGAGGTCGTGATCTGATCATTGTTGACCTCACATGATCATTTGTCCCTCTTGTGTTTCTCCAGCTCAGGATTTGTTGGTGTACTTGGCGAGCGACAGTGCGGTGCACTTGACTTTGGAGGGTCTCGGCTGTATGAATGCGCAGGAGCTCGGCCGCAATGTCCGAGAAGCCCTCAACATTCCCAACTCTGCCATAGATGTGTTCGCTTTCTGGTTCTGCTCTCCTTTGCTTGGTAATGATCGTTCTTTTGTGCTCTGGTCAGATGTCAGACTGATACAGAATCTATGAGCTTTTTGTAATTAGGTTATGAAGAAGGGCAAGCACAATGATGGCATTTACAATCTCTGTGGCTGAATTGCAAGTGAAGCGTTAGGAGGGTACATCAGGAAGTCCTGAGGGCATCAGTGCCACCCGCTGGCATTTGTGGATTATTTGATGTCTTTTTAAACAAGGGCAGCTTTTTACTTATTAAGGTCTGGAATGCACTACATGACTTTTATAACCGGTACAGATTTTAAAACACTAGGCATCATATACTTGCCAATTCTTTAATAGCTACAAAGAAAAACTGTGCATCACATACTTAACAACTGAGGATCACACGCTACCAGATTTCAAATAGATCCAAACACAAACTCGCACAGAAACATGCAGCTCATTTCTATGAGACACCTGACAAATTAAAGCAATATGCATAAAATAAAATAAAAATAATAAAAAACTGTAATCTGTCAACTCTTACTGCCCAAAATCTGCAGACTGGCACCGACTTTCGGCTACTACTATCAGCTCATCCAGACTGAAAATCAGGGCAAAATTCTGGTCAAAAGTTGTGTGTTCTGTTCCAACCTTTAGTTAGACATACAGTCTTATTGATTAACAGAGGAAATACGCCCTAGCGTTTTATCATCATATTTTTTTTATGGAGTCCTTCTTATTGTTTCCCACCTTTAGTCTCATTTTGTTGTGATATGTTTGAACAGACCTGCAGTTGAAACCGAAACATTTGCCCTACAAGCTGTGTCGTCAGTGGCAGGACCTGCTGTACCGTTTTACTGAGGCCCCCGCAGAAGACATTTCTCAAGGTATGCTTGTGTGTTTAATTTTGTACATTTCGCTTCATTTGAAAGTTTAGGTGTTTATCAATAACACATTTCTGTATTTTTCAGATGAGCCGTGTCTTCTGTTCAAAAGAAATGTTTTTTATTCCAGGTCAAAAGAACTTCAGGTATTGAAAGTTTTTTTTGGGGGGAAAAATTAAGATTCTCTTATTTACTCACCCTCATGTATTTCCAAACTTATGTATGACTTTATTTCCTTTCGGAGGCCAGTGGGGCCCAACACAGTCAACTGCACAACAAAATAAGATATTTTGAAGAATTTTTCAGTGTCTTTTGTCCATATAATTAAAGTTAATAGGGTTCAGTACAGTGTTGGACCCCAGTGACTTTCATTATATGGACACTGAGAAATTCTTCAAAATATATATATTTTTATTTTACTTTAGAAAGTAAGTCATACAGGTTTGGAACAACATGAGGTGATGACACATTTAGGTGAACTATCCCTTTAAGCCCAGTGCACACATTGCGTTTTTCTTTGTCTATTAAGAGGTTTGCTTGTCAGATTAATATGCAATATGACCCCAGAGAGATCTTGCACAAAAGCCAAGGCACATGCACAGTGTCAAATGCCTTGCATGTCAGACTGTGCAACACTGTATCAAAGACTTTGGACCTGATTGAGTATTTGTGTCTGGAGTTATTAGACTGGCCAGTGGAGGTCATGGACTGCTTATCATTAAGAGTGATCATAGCATAAAACGTCCCAAAGAGATTTATGTGACATATCAATCATATAGACAAGCAAAATCTTTTACAATTCCCGATGTTTACCTCAGACGTCCAGTGTGCACCAGGCTTTACCATAAACTGCCATTACCCTATAAGACTGTGGTTTTCAAGCGTTTTGACTTGAAGACCCATGTAGGCTAAGATATCTTTAGCAATTATGGCAAAGCTGATTTTTTAATTTATTAACAGAAATTGAATTAATGATATATTAAATTAATGCATTTTAAAATTAATTTTGTGATTCCATGATGTGAATTTATGTTGTGTAACATCTTTATTTTGTAATGTCAGCTTGAAGATGAAGGAGTGTTAAGGCTACTTTATGACGAGGCCAAGATGAATATCTTGGAGGGTCGTTACCCCTGTGACCCTGAACACTGGCTGAAATTGGGAGCTTTGTCCTGTGCCATTGAGCTGGGGACTGGGCTTGATGACCAGGCTCTAACAGCAGCAATCAGGTGACCTTCTCTGCTCCTACATCAGGGATCAGATGGTTAATGTAAAGTTGAGGTTTCACTTCCCTTTTTGTCCATTTTTTTTTATTTTCAATGTTTGGTTACACTTTATTTTGAGGTATTGACACAAATAAGTTCCGAGTAATGTAAATTATCAACATGTAGAATTAGGGTTTGGTTTAGGATTATTTGCTTTAATTATGCATAATTTACTGCATTTACATTTATGCATTTACTAGATGCTTTTATCCAAAGCAACTTACAAAAGGGGAACAAAACTTTACAGATTTAATTATTAGCTTTTCATCAGCCTCCCAGTTAAGGAATCCTGTCCTAGAATTAATTGGTTCACTATTATAGTATAATTTGTTATTGACTAATTTGCTGTAAATTAATTTCAGTTTCTACCTGTAATATTATTCCAGAGAGAAGAAGCTGTCCTCATTCCTACCGGCCCACGCTGCATTAGGAGGAGGAGGTTTTCTATCCACACTGAGGGGGAGAGGAGGGAGGAATGCAGAGATGGAGCAAAATCTTATAAAGGAGTATCGTTCAGTCTGCTCCTCTGCTGCCACTGGCTCCAGTCAGGAGCCCATCGCTCTGCTGCGCCAGTACCTCAGGAGCTGCCACACTCTGCCTTACTATGGGTACTATTACTGCAAGTGGAAAGTTGTTCGAATATGAAGTGTCTGAGCCTTACATGTGTGTATTTTTGCAGATGTGCTTTCTTCATGGGTGAGATAGACAAGCCAGCACAGGGCCTCCTTCACAGAGGTGGCCGTAAGGCTGTGAGTGTGGGCATCAGTCTGGAAGGAGTATATGTCATGGATGTGAAAGAGAAGCATGTCCTCCTGGGCCTCAAGTTCAGTGAGCTTTCCTGGGATCACAGCTACCCAGAGACAGAGGGAGACACACACATCCTCTGGCTGGAGTTTGATGGGGAGGAGGCTGGCGTGCCTGTCAATAAATTATTAAAGATTTATTCAAAACAGGTGAGCACACAATGATTTATGTTGTTGTGTTTGACAGTGTAAGCAAGCATATATTTAAAATGTATTATAGCAATAAAATTAAAATATTTGCATTTTAATATTATCAAATTATTTTCATAAATATATTCCATCAAACAAATTAATATTTTCATTCAAGGATACATTAAATTGGTCAAAAGAGACCTACAAATATTTATAATGTAACAAAAGTTTCAAATAAATGCTGTTCATCTTTTTATTTATCAAGGAATCCTCAAAAAAATGTGTCAGTTTCCACAAAAATATTAAGCAGAACAACTGTTTTCAACATAAGATATTTTTCTTGAGAAATGCTTAATAAGAAATGTTTCTTGAGCAGCAAATCGGCATTTTAGAATGATTTCTGAAGGATCAGGTGACACTGAAGACTGGAGTAATGATGCTGGTTCAGCTTTGCCATCACAGGATTAAATTGCATTTATATAGAAAAGAGTTGTTGTAAATGTAATAATTTTTCACAATATTACTGTTTTTACTATATTTTTGATTACTGACCCCAAACTTTAGAACGGTTTTATGTATGAATTATGTATGTATGTATAAATTTTCATGATATACTTATGTATTACATATTTACTTATTTAT